TATTCCACTAAATATATAGCCACGGTAACGCCTATAAAAAAGTCACACTACTGAATGTTGATGATCAAATAGCAACTTCTCAGGAGAACTAACTACAGTAGAATTTAACCTTCGCATAATCGGTGCATTTGAAAAACGGACATTATTTTGGCCATTGAATACGTTCAAAAGAGTACACTTGCTCTTGACCTGTTGTCTTCCTTGACGTTTAAACAACTTTATTAAAAATTATTAGTAATAAGTATTATGCAGATAAAACAATGAAATGCTTGTTCACAAACAGAGTAACAACTGTTAAAAGTAGTAGAAAAAACGAGCACAAAAAATGTCAACCCTGATCATACGTTATGGAGCCACATCAAGCACAAACACTTACGAATGTTACAAATATCTGCTGGATGTCGTTGAGTCGTCAGAAGCCAAGTTAATAATAGCAGCAACTGAGACAACAATTAGCATGCGGATACGCAGTCAATAACAAACAAAAATGTGTGACAACGTATACAAGAAAAACAACAATATTGAGAATAAGTCAATACAATATCGGCTCCTGACCGAAGCAATACTAAAGCTGCTGCATGAAACAGTATCAATACGAATAACATCTAGAAGCACAGTAAACAAGAGACACAAACGTTCAGATCTTGTCTTCTGCGAATATAACTAATGGTAACTTTAAATAGGGCGACAGACAACACCGAAAATTATGACCAACAAAAATAGACGTCTAAATGGAAGTATACATGAAAAAGGCACGTAAAACAAATGGATTCATATCTGTACAAAATTACCGGTTTTGTTCGATAAAAAATAATTAATCCATTTCCGATGTTGTCATTTTCGGCCAAGCAATTTTGGCCTCGTGTCGCTTATAGACAAATAAATGGAACTTTTTCAGCGCTCGCAATTGGGCACGCATCACATCCGGACAGTCGGCCGGTAGGACGGCACTTTCTTAAAAAAACAATAATCAAGCGTCTGAAGCATATGTAAATTCGACGCCGAAAGATCAGAAGAATTTGTACTGAATCCAAAGAATGTGGAGGTGGCAGAACGAATAAAGAGATTTCAATAAAAAGGCAGTGCTGCGGTAAAGGAAGCGTCCTCCAGTTACGGGAGAGCACCTTTGTTTACCTGAACAGCACTCAGCAAGCAGGACGGCGCTGGCAGATAAAAATAATTGAGCCCAAAACCCTTCCGGCTTAAAATCACAGTTTGGAGGGCAGAGGTTGGTTCAGTTAGCATCACTCATAAGTTTTGTTCTCTGCGCACAAACCTATAAAATCTGTTATTGTACAGAGGGGATCTATGAATTGCGCACAAAACATAGCTGCACTTTCGAAATTTCAAGCTGTGTCTACTACTGTATTCGTGTGCAAATTCAAAATTTCCTGCAGATAGACTGCATTTCAGCTGTCAGACGTAAACGCGTCATTTTATTCTTCAAAGCCACGATGGTCGATTGATAAAACAATAACTCTCTCCTTTTGTGTGAGGCTTCTAAAGTCTTTGGCCGATTCCTCTAGTTTTCAGAATCTGAACGCCTCGAAGTGTCCCTTCAGCTTCCTTCTAGGTCCTTGCTTTCGCTATCTTTGATATTACCACTTTGCCTGAATTTACGCAGTTCCTCAGTTTCTCGCCGAACTTCTCGTAGTCGTTGTCGCAGCTGTCTTTCAAGTTCAGTCGGAGAACCGCCTTGTCAAATGCTTTCGGTCGCTGTCTGCGATCAGCCATCTGTAGTGCCATCTGCACCGGTCTGTGATTACTGCCAGTGTTACATGACGCCACTAATGCTGTCTCGAATGATGCGGCTTCATCGAATAGGATGAAGCCGACACCGTCTTTCGTCGTCACGTTGAGCGCAAATAATGTCCATCTCCAACAGGTGTTGCCATGTATAGATGTTTATTTTCTGCTATGGTCCTCAGTCTATCTCCTCGTTCATTTCGCTCCTCATTGCCGTACCTAATGACGAAGTCACCGGCTTTACAACTTTAGCGTTACACCTTGCTACGGAAATATACCATGAAGCATATCAGCAGTTTTCTGATAGAAATCCTCCACCTCCCCCTCGTGGCCTCTACTTATGGGAGCAAAGGTTTGAATGATATTCGAGGTTCTTTTTTTGTTCAGGAGGAGACACAGTACACCCATTTTTGTGACTTCACATAACAGGTTGACGATTTTGGAGGACTAGCTTTTGTTGACCACAGATCTGATTCCTCATAAGTTCTTCAGCCCTTTGACTCTCCCGAACAACGTTCATTACGGATTCCATACATCTACTTCAGTCGCCAAGTCTCGCAGAGGCCAAGGATGCGGCATGTCATCCCTGACTATTTGTCTATTACTTTGTTTAACTTTTCTTCTTTCGACGGTTTCTACAGTTGTACGCGCAAACGGCTAGAGAGGTCCGGGTCCATTTACCATGGCGGCCCTTATTCTGGATTCTCACTAGCCTCTCGTCAGTAGAGCGTCGAAACGCCGTCGTAAAACAGGTCGAGAAATGCGCGAGAATTGAGGATCATTAATTCGCGTTGCCATAACGCATGAAGTTTTGACACCCGTTGGCCAGGCTTACAGGTACCCAAATTCCGCCCGGCTTTTACTGGTTGTCTGTCTTAGTCTTTGACGAACGGACGTCTAACCGCAAAGCAGCAGTAACATTGGCAGTTTATTTCTTGATATAGGCGGGTCGCTTTTGCTTTGACATGAGGTTGTCATTGGCATTGTGATTTTATCTCTGAGAATCGAACTTCTCGAGTCTGAACCCAGCCACACCTAGGTGATCTCACCGCTGCCTGTCCTAGTCTGCTTATTTATCAAAGATGAACAGCATTATTAGATGTCACTTGCCCATTCACAATCCGGCCGGGGACACACCAGATAGGCAGCAGTTAGGCACGCTACGGACTTAGAACTTAGAGAGAGTATTTTAAAAGAAAACAAAAAGGTACAAAACATACATACCATAGCCATCTACGTTCAAGTACAATCCGTAATCCTCAGGATTAGTTATTTTGAATTTGTGGGCAATCATTCGACCTTGAATTAAACGGAATGATTTTTTGCCAAAAGATTAAAAAGCGCATTAATTTACAAAGCTTCGCACACGACATATCCGGAACGGCAGGGAAACAGTGGTAGTAGATGGCACCAGTAACTTCTTCAGGTATAGCGATCCTCAGAAATGCGCCGGTAGTTTCCACGCTCTAAAATTACATATTCAAGGATGGGCTCAATAAACACAGTAAAGAGAAAACTTCTACATAGGGCGAGGGAACAAAGCGCCAGACTCCTCAACTTAGGCTTGTGTCCTGGACATAACCGTTTTAAAAATGCTGACGTACCTCGGACGCAAAATGGCAAGTGTCGCTAAGCTTCGACACCAAATGTGCATGCTTCAGCACGTGCACCGCCGATGACAAAGCGGTCAGACAGTACGAAGCCTCGCCAAACAACAGCGCCGGGTGCAACAAACCCCACATGTAGTTCGCCTCGATCTCGCAACCGACCACCGAACATCTCGACAAAAGATACACGAGCCACCGCAATAATTCTGAAAAGAAGAAACAAAAATGAGTCATTATCATTAGTCGTTTTCGATAACGCAGTAAACAATGTCGTTTTACTCAGTCGTTTGCTTATTCATTTGGTCAATCAATCATTCATTCATTCACGTATGCATATAACCATACCGTCAGCATCTGGCAGGTCGAAGTTATAACAGTTCACCGCCGTCACCACCCTGCTTTTCGGGTAGGCAAGGGACAAAGCTCTAAGTAGGTACTCGAGTTTCTTGACCGGCGAGTAATGATGCTGCATTCTGCGAAACTCTTCACGTATCTGCTCCATTGGAATGTCGAAATCGATCGGCTAAATTTGTCGGCGCAATTAGTAGTGTCTCTCTCAGAGAAAGGGAAACGAAAATGCACTTTCGTATGTTTAATGTACAAAAGTAGTCAAAACATTATAAAGTAATTAAATAACTTATAGTACAACAAATAACAATAAGCAAAACGCAAGCAAAGGCAGAAGTGTGCCTTTTCTAAGTTCGTAAACCACAAACCTGAATCATCGTTAAGGTTAGGTGTCATCTTAATAATCGCGATCAATCGATCAATCTAATCAATGGCGCTACTCAGGCAGTATTGAAGATGGTTGCGATCCTAAAATATCCGCAACTAAGGAATGTCGCAAGAAGCTGTTTACAATTGCCAGGAAGAGCTACTTGGTCTTGTATAATGAACTCTATTCTAGACATACTAAAAGTCTGTCAACTGTTTCGAAATCTACAGGACCGCTAAAACAAGCAGATATGCGTACGCCAGTTCCTGCTTCGCAACGCCAATAACTTTTCTTCTAGCATCGTTTCGAAACATTTACAACAAAATTTATATCTTCAGCTTGCTTCCGCTGAGATGTATATCATTCTGATGACCGAAGTTCATTCGCTTCAATCGTCTTTATTTTTGAATCTTCTAGCTTCTTTCTTTATGGCCAGGGCTTACGTTATGCGTCGAGGGAAAGAGGGAACGGCAGGGCTAGTATTATGGTGCAAGGAGTTGGTAATTTGCTTTGGACTTAAGAAGTCCCTGGTTCAAACCCCAAGCACTCTTATTCAAGTGTTAATGCCCTTCAGCCAGGAACTCACTGCACAGTGATTCGATGCAGATAGTTGCCTTGCGAATAGAAAACTCATGTCTTAGTCGGGTCATGCCAAAACGTGCGAGACACCCGGCCATCCTATCTGACGCGTGAGCCTTAGGGCCGCAATTCGCCTTGACCCAAATGATAACTGGCTATACAATGTCACAATCAGTACAATGCGTAAACTTGATCTTGTTATTCTTCATAACCTAAAACTTATCTTAATACTTGTTCCTCCTTGCGGAGTAGTGGTACATTAGCTAAGAGGTCTGTTTCGAGCTTCGGAGGTGCAGGATTCGATTCCGCTGGAGAAAAATCCTTGTCAATCAATCAAATTCGATGACCGTTTGACATTTCGGTTCGCGAAGGCAGAAAGTTGCGTGCTTCGAACGTCCCATATCCTGTGCCACATTCTTAGTCTTGGCAGAAGAGACCAGCTTCGTCTTATCTACGTATTCCCTTAGGCGAGAAATTGACCACACATCGCTTTAACCGGGGTTGTTCAGTTCACAGAGCGGTAGACTCACAACGAGAAGATCACTGGCTCAACCTCTGGTCGTAGTCTTTCGTTTTCCTTCCTTCTACGGTTGACAACTGAGTAGCACTTTGTGGCAAGGAGAAACGAGGTTATACGCAATACTTGCCACAGGGCATTGCCGACAGATGGCATAGGAAAGAAGATCAGCTGCGCACCACGAGCTTCATGACAGGAAGAGTGCCAGACTTAACGAGAGTAAGACCGACATTCCAACGTTTACATACTTTCATACATTTTTACTTTATTCTGTTTGTAATTTTCTTTTGCTCCTGCTCGTTTAAATTTGGCTTTTACAACTTCTTCCACTTTCACCTTCAACTTCGTTTTCTATTGATCATATATCCCTTTCGTTTCCTATTTATTTCTCTTGTTATATTTATTATTGTTCTTTCGCCTATTCTTTTCACTATGATCAACAGTGAAAAAGGTTTTATTCAACACGCAGCAAACAATGTGCTAAAACGGGAGTAGTTTCAACTGAAAAACTAAAACCCGATCTTATGGGTTTACTAGAATACTGCTAGTTACTGAGACCGCCACTAAGATCGGTATCAAATACTCAAAAGGACTATATGTCTTAGCGGCGGTATCCATAACCAGCAGTACGATAGTAAACCCATAAGATCAGGTTTTATTTTGTACATAAATAAGCTTACGGATCGTGGAATATTTGCAGGTATCCGAAAAAGCCCTTGTTCATTTCTGCCCGGTGATGCGGCTTTGATCCATGCATCGCCGGTGCTCATCATGGAATCTTGCCTGCTTAAATCGTCGTTTAGGCCACTAGAGGCAAGAGAAAGCTGCTTACGCTGCTTCAGTCGGGTAAAAATTGAAAAGAAGTTTCAACTGGACCTGCTAACTTTCTTAAATAAAAATTTTTACTTCCTGTTCTTCATGTTTTATTAAACTATTATACTTCTTGCCTTCCTCCACCCGTTTCTCATTCTTCATGTTAATTTTCATATTAGTCTACTTCTATTCTACTATTCGTCATTACGTTATCTGCAATATTTCTCGAATTCATTTGTATCGTCTTCATTTGACTTTTTGCTATTGTTCTTCTCTTTGGTGGTTGCCTATCTATATCGCGAATTATTACTTCTTTCTACATTTGTTTTTCATGTTTTAGGCATCTTCATTCTATTTCTAGTTCTTGATCTTTCTTTCTCCCATTCTTTACTTTCATAAAATTTTTTGTTACTGGGCTTATTTTGCTGTTCCTGCGTTCTTTTTCATGACATTCACCTGATAGTTCTTTTTCCACACAGGTAAAACATGAATTAGTGAAAGCGTTGACAGACTTCCCCTGAACAAAAAGAACACTAACAATATTCTCAGTGATCTATAAATTCAAATAAGCACAGTAAATTTACATATGATCATTTTTTATGCCTTCTGAACATAAATGTTATGTTTTGTCGATACCTGTTTAACGTACATTAACCTCCAACAGTGTTTTACCTGTAAACCGATATCTTCAGGAGATTTATTACGAACTGCAGCCATGTTCTCTGACAGGCTGTGCAATGTGCCGTTCTTCGAGCTCTCCTTGATTAACAGTTGGTAGAGATATGGCTTGAGCGGGTCCAGTATGATCTTCTGCAGCACACCCTCTAGAATCGCGTCGATGTTCAAGAATTGGTTCGACGCCAGCTTGCAGCGCTCATTTTCGATCAGGAAGTGAAGGCTGGCTTCGTCCTGTTTGACCAAATAGTTTTTGAGGCCGTTGATGAACTGCCGGACATTGCCAAGCACCAGTTTTGGGTCGTTCTCCACCGCCTCGGTCGTGCACTTCAGAAAATACTTCACTTGTGCTCCGACGAACGAACTCGGGTCGCTCGCCATTCTGAAATCACGCTATTAAATGTCAAAAAAACAATAGAAAGCATAGCTAATTTTAGCTTTCAAGAGGCTATTAGGCGGTCGGTAATTTACATTAAGATATTGCATGACTTTTACATTCTTATAATTCTCACTCTCCGAAAAATGAGTGGCATGCAAGATATCGTGCAAACCATGAGAGTAAGCAAGATCCGTTGGGCAGGCCACGTCGCACGTCTCGATGACAACCGATGGACCTCGCGCATTGTAGAACGGTACCCGAGAGAAAGAAAACGACCACTGGAGCGACCTCCGATGAGGTGGCGGAAGTACGAGGAGGAAAGTATGGCAGGAAAGAACTGGATACAAACTGCCAAGGACAAAATGGCCTGGCATGATTGCGCTCGGCGTGTGGGAAATATGAAGAATCCACACTGAAAGCCCAAGCAATCTTTCAATCTTTGAATAATTCTCACAGTATTTTTTCTGTTCACTAAAAGCCCAATTTTGCATTCCTCTACCATGAAGACAACGATAAAAGTACCGGAAAAAAGATACAATGAAGTGCATTCTTTTCAATCCTAACAGGTCGTACGCTGGCTACGAACCTGAAGCCGTCGAATAATGAGGCACAATAAAATGGGTTTGCAAATCTATCAAGGATACTCCGAGCACTCAGATAAAAACATCATGAATGCAACAACTGGGCACGTTCTTTGCAATCGCGCCCAAAGAAAGGCAAATTAAATGAATCGTCATGAGGTTTACCGTATTCATCGCCATGATGAACGTGGCATAGAGAAATAAACAGTTATTACTGAACTCTGAGCAAGATCTTGCATCTCACGATTGTGTAATAAGTCGACTTTGTTGTTCTTGGTTCATTTAGAAGACAACTACTCTCGATTCTATCAGATAGCTTCGGGTGTGATAAATGGTGGAATAGAGAGTAGCTACGAATTCCGGAACCCGAGGCTTGAATTTACGGAACAGCTATATTCGGGTATATAGTTTACCTTTTTACACAATCCTGGATTCGCAGCCATGAGCCACTGTTACCACCATTCGTGGCATCGTTATTCGTCTCTGAAACATTATGTCTGATGAATCACGTGATCAGAAACAACACATGATAGGGTCATTAATGTACCTGATACAACAGAGGCGCCGAAACGTCCATCGCCGATATCCTCATCAGGGATCACGAAAGAACTGAAAGCTTCGATGATTCCGTCGCGGAGGAAAACGTCGCCGCTGTCCTGCGACCTGCCGAGGGTGCGCAACGAAGATCGGACGCTGGTCGAGGAGCTGCTGAAAGAACGTGGTTTGCCGGTGGACGAAGAGGATGGTTCCAGGTCCCGTCGATTTGTAGCAGGCGATGACACTCCGTTGTTGTCCTAAACAAAGATAAATCGTCAACATTGCTGTAAGATCGATTACTGGTCAGCGAATCACCATGCAATCCGGAGCTGGAAGTGGTGGCTTGTTCCATGGAATTACACCCTGCTCAGAGTGGTAGTGCTTTTCACTGTCACGGAAAGGCTGTATCGTCGAATCGTCTGACTTTGGAGCGGCAGTCTTCTGGTCGCAGCGGAAGGAGTCTTTTTCTACGTGCTTCATGGAATCGGCCAGGTTGATGAGGTTGTCCCAGACACTGGAGTCCCAAGGCTCGCAAAACATTGTACCTGAAGTGGAAACGGTAGAGCGACACTCGTCCGACTCGTCGATGTCCGGCAGGTCCATACTGGCGCGCGGAAACACGTTGCTGTTTTCGACCGTGACATATGCATTGCTGTAAGGGTGAATGGTGGTGGCAGTACGTTGATGCTCGGAAGAAGACCAAACACCATAGCGCAACGAGGACGGAGAATAGGAAACGGAAGGAGATGTTTGGGCATTCATCACTGCAGCCGCTTTGTCAATGCATGGATCAAGTGTGGTCGGCTTCAAGACAGGGGCTGAGGGTTTACACCTAGGCCGCAGACGGCGGGATGATTCACGTAGAGGGACCGCAGTCGATGTCCGTGGGGCAGCAACGGTGGCCGACATTGGACTGTACTCAACACCGACCACGTCATATCCGGGGGCGGCTACGTCGTTCAAGCTGCCGTAGAATATCGCC